TGCAGGGAAAGCAGAGGGTAGATCCTGTCATATGGTTCCCTGAGCAGACTGTCAAAGTCATTTGGCAAAATACCTCATCACCAGAACTTTCCAACAAGCACAAAATGTCGCTTGGGTGGTGGTGAGAAGGGCACTACCCATGAGATCTTTCATGTATGCCTGGACTCTCTACACTTCCACACATTGCCCTTGAAATGGCTGCGAGAGAGATGAGACTGTAACACACCTCCTTCTAGAATGCACCTTTGCAAACGACATCTGGAGAGAGATGTAGCGATTTTGTCGAGGTTCGTCCCAAGCAGCTCCATGATACAATACTCTGTGCTCTATGGTCTGTTCCCCAGACATACACTGAGACAAAAATCAACTGCACCTGGAGGACTATCAACTCAGTAAAAGACGCGCTTTGGTCTGCCTGAAACTTGTTGGTCTTCCAGAGCAAGGAGTTGACCCTGACTGAGTGTTGCAGACTGGCACACTCCAAGGTCCGGGACTATGTGCTGAGGGACACACTAAAGCTTGGGGCAGCTGCCGCCAAGGCGCAGTGGGGAAACACCACCGTCTAAGGTCTTTCTACCGAAGTTAAATGGGGGCCCGTTTAGTTATCGGATGCTCCTAGTGACTCAAATATGTGTAAATATAATCTTGTATAAGTAAGAAATGCCTTTAAGTTTGTTTTATCGGAAAGAGTCAAACTCCAATGTTTCTTTATTCCTTCATATGCTACTGTACAGAACTGCTGTAGTGACTATTATATATAGATGTATATCTATGTATAAAATAAAGATATTTTTATGAATAAAGTATAATTTTGAAATTTTAAAAAAATGCTGTAAGGTTTCCCAATGCAACACTGAAGGTTTTGGTGCAGGAGGAGAGAGGTGCTTTTAATTTGGCAGATGGAACACGCTCCAGACACTAAGAAGATGATACAAATGGGTAGCCATATAGTCAAATGCCGGCAGTCTAGACATGAAGCCCTAAGCATAGTTTAAATGTAACAAGTTTGATCACTTTAGACGCAAGATATCACTGCAGGAAATCCTCAGGGCAGGGACCAAGGCCCAACCATCCTCAGCTGCTTCATTGATGACCTCCCCTCCATAAAATCAGAAGTGGGGATGTTCAATGATAATTATACAATGTTGAGCACAATTCCTGACTCCTCAAATATTAAAGCAGTCAATGTCCAAGTGCAGCTAGACCTGGACAACATCCAGTCTTGGGCTGATGAGTAGCAAATAACATTTACACTACACAAGTGCCAAGCAATTACCGTCGCCAACAAGAGAGAATCTAACCATTTTCCTTTGATACTAAATGGCGTTACCATTGTGGAATCTCCCACTATCATCATCTTGGAGGTTACCGTTGACTAAAAACTGAACAGGACCAACCATAAAAATATTGTAGATAAGAGCAGGTTGAAGTCTTGGAATTCTGTAATAATTAATTCACCTCATCTCTCCCCAGTGCCTGCCCACCATTTATAAACCACAAGTTAGAATTGTGATGGAATATTCTCCACTTGTCTGGATGGGTGTATCTCCAACAACACTGAAGAAGCTCAACAGTACCAAGGACCAAGCTCCTGTTTAATTAACACCCCTTTCACTACCTCCAATATTCACTCCCATCACCACCAAAGCTTAGCAGAAACATGTACCATCTACAAGATGCACTGCAGTAACTCAACAAGAGTCCCAAAGGCAGCATCTTCCAAACTTGCAAACTTCACCGTCTAAAAAGACAAGGGCAACTGAAGCATACAAATAGTGCCACCTGCTAAGTCACATTCAAGACCCTACCATCCTACTGTGCAACTGTGTCACTGGGTCAAAATCCCTTCCAAACAGCATTGTAGTTGTTCCTATATGACAAGGACTGCAGGTGTTCAATAAGGCAGCTCACCACCAATGTCTCAAGCATAACTAGGGATGCGTATTAAATTCTGGGCTAGCCAGTGCATCCACATCGTATGAATGAATCAAAAAAAAGAAAACGTGTGATCAAGATCACTGATAGCATCTTCACATTGCCAGAACCTTAAAAATGAACTACCAGTCTCATACAGCACCCCTTTTAACAGTATTTTTTAGTCAGTGTAGAAATGCAAGTTCCTTTCTAGTCAGACAGAGCATATTTTGTACAACCTACTTGTACATCTTATGATTCACCTCCAGAGCAGGTGGGACTTGAACCCAGGCCTTCTAGCCCAGACACAGGGACACTACCACTGCACCTAAGGGTTAAACAAAAGATATTTTTCTAATTAACCTATTCAGAGATGTTATTACACAAATCTAAAGCAGTTGGGACTTGAATGTGGGTCTCCTGGCTCAGTGGTAGGGACAAGTGACCTAAGGGGCAATCAAAACAGCCTGAGAGTTGAATGAGAGCAGGTGATGTTCATTGGACTTGTATTAGTGACCTTGTCTCTAGGGGCTCTTGGGGTGCAGTGGTAATGTCCCTACCTCTAAAGCAGAAGGTCTGGATTCATGTTCCACCTACTCCTGAGGTGTGTCATAACACATCCAAACATGTTGATTGGAAAATATTCTTACCTCTGACTAGAACGTCTAGATTCAAAGCCCACCTGGTCCAGAGATATATAATAACATCTCTGAATCGGCTGATTAGAAAAACTATATAAAGAAGCTGGGTTCTGTGGAGGTCTTCGGCAGATTGGAGGACCTCCTTGTGGGTCCGTAATGTACTAAAATATGTTGAGATTCCTCACGGGGTGTTATCAAATAAAGTCAGCTAAGAGATATTAGAATATATGATCAAAATCTTAGTCAAAGAATTTTTTTTAAGGAAACGTCTTCCAGCCACAAATTTAGGACAAATTTAGAGAAGTGAATGCTTAAGAGACCAGAATGGAAGAATTATTGATATCTCAGAGTATTGTTGTGCTGAAGGAGATTACAGAGATAGGGCAAGGCAAGGACATGGTAGGATTTGAAAGTAAGGAAGATAAACTTTAGAATTGAGGCACCAGTTAATGAGGAGCCAGAGTAACTGAGAAAACACAGGAATGATAGATGCTGGGAGCTGTTGTGAATTAGGTTATAGATAGCAGATTTTAGGAAGATTTTAACTTTACTGCATGTAGATGTTTGGAGGCCAGCCATGAGATCATTAGAGCAGTCAACTCTAGAGGTAACACAGGAATGGGTTTGAGCAAATGAGCTGATACAGAAACAGAAGTAGATGTTATAAAGATGGATGGAGATTTTAGCGATGGTGCAGATATGTGTTCAGATGTCATCTCAGGGTCAATTGTCAATCGACTGATTCGGCCTTAAGCTCTCACAAAGAGGCTGAGGATTCATGGCTAAGGAATGGAGTTTGTGATGGGGTCAATGGCTTCAGTTCTCATAATATTTAGAGTCATAACGTTTGCAGCACCAAAACAGGCCATTTGGCCCACCAAGTCTATGCTGACCAACAAACACCAAACTACATTAATTCTGTTTACCTGACCTAAGTGCATAGCCTACTATGCCTTGGTATTCTAAGTGCTCATACATATACTTCTTAAACGTGTGAGAGTACCTGCCTACACCACCCTCTCAGCAGCACACTCCATATTTCTACCACCGTCTTGGTGAAAAAAATATTTCTCTCAGATCTTCTGTAAATGACTTACTCCTCACCTTAAATTTATGCCGTTTGGTCTTGGACACATCTGCCATGGGGAAGAGTTCCTCACAATGTACTCTGTCTATACCTCTCATAACATTGTATACCTCAATCAGACACCCCTCAGCCTCCTCTGCTCCAGGGAAGACAAACACAGCCTATCTAATTTCTCCTCATAACTAAGACTTTTTGTCCCAAGCAACATCATGGTGAGTCTCCTCTGCACCCTCTCCAGTGCAATCACCCCCTTCCGATAATGTGGCATCCAGAATTGCACACAATATTCCATTTGAAGCTTAACCAATGTTTTAGAAAGTTAGAGTAAGAACATAGTCCTTGCTCCTATATTCTATACCCCAGCAAGCAGCCCATAGTTGAAGGAAATTTCTGTTTATCCAAATCTAGAGCTCAAACAAGAACTTGGACAATTTTGGGACAATAGGAGAATTAAGAAAGGTGATGGTGAGGCAGAGCAGAGTGTGGAAGCTTGTCAGAAGATAGCTCCAAGAGGCAACATGGAGATAAGAGATTGGAGGGGCCAAGGATATGTCATTTGGGCAACAGTAAAGGTGGTAGTTTGGATATAGGAAAAAGAAGCCATTGCCATAGATACACTGGCTATGAATAGGTAAAGAAGAAAGGAGCCAAGTGACTGCAGTCTCACCCTACTAGATGGCAGTGGAAACATATTGAAGGAGAGTGATGTGGTCAACCATGTCAAAAGCTGCAGATTGGTCATACCCTTTATTTATTAGTGCACAGTACACTGGCTATGGCCAGCCAGCTTGGAGTCAGTCCTCAACTGAGGAGATGCATGTCTGCATGTCTGCATGTCTGCATGTCTGCATGTCTGCATGT